TACTATAAAGCAAAAGATTAGTGTGTGAACATGTGTAACAGTGTGTGTGTTTGCCAACTGGATTCATTTAGTTCACAACTTAATGGAAATCCATTTTAGAAGTTTATCKCAAATATTCCTAAAATAATATTTTTTAGATTGCTAAAATATTAATAATGTGCAAACAACTATGAATATTATCTTGCAAAACAGCAAAAGAAAGCAGAATTGAATTGTGRTGAGTGGTCTGAAAAAAATATTGCCATGCTTTAAAAAATATGTGAGGACAAGTTTTATCTTAGTTTGAATAATTTAAATGAAACGAAGCTTGAGTGGAGGACTAATAAATATACTTGTGGATTAAAATAGTTTTTGTGTTGGCAATCCTGGAATAATCTCTCTGTCCTCTTTCCTTCCTTGTTGAGCCTTTTTTTTAATAAACAGTGTTGGAAGAAAACATAATAATAAAAAAAACACTTTTAGAGTAGACATTTGTTAATTCTGGTCAATTGTAGAAACACAATTAATTTTATGTATGATAAGGTGAACCTTCAGAAAGAAAGAATAAACTGATAGGACATCACAAATGTATTAATCCTAAATTCTGAAGTAAACCTTTAAACTTGATATATCTTTAAATTCCATAAATCACACTTGAACCTTGCAGCAACAGCGAAACAAGGAGTAAAAAGTCCATGAAGAGAGTTTTGAATGACACATGCTTTCATTGCTCATGACACCTCATCACTTGGCTTTTTGTCTTGGGGTGCTGTTCCTGCTGATTGCATTGCATCACACTCAAAAAGCCCAAATGATAGCAGAAGCACCATATTGTCCTTTTCCAAGCTCTTTCTGGTGGTAAAATGCACATTCACGAACCCTTAATAAAGTGCAGCTGATTGATTTTCCCACAACACAGTTTTAGTCCTTAATCTGTTCTAACGAGCGGTGTTATAAAAGACATAAAGCGGGACAGTTTGAGCATGCAACCGTCTGCAGCACTACCTTGTTGTCTCAGCTTTGGTTGCTGTGTATTCAGCTCTCAGGYTCGGTGCTGCAAAGAGGCCAATGTACTTCTACTTGCATTTTTTTCTGATTTCATTTTCCCCCTCACATGGAAACAAAAAGACTCAAAGCTTGCTTAATTTACATCAAACAAAACGAGAAGCCGTAAAAAAACAGAAAAAAAACAACAACAAAGAACGTGATAAAGAGGAAATAAGCATTCCATTTCTAATACACCTTATCAAATCCACGGTAATCTAATTGCTTGTAAGCCACACACGAAACACATAGTTTGCATTTTAAATCTGTGTGATACACAGCTGGCTCAATTAAACATGTAGCAGATATGGGCGATGCTGCAATCCTGTTCAGACATCCTTCACTAAAAGGACATTTAACGGCCAAGCTGACAATGACACATGACAAAACGTATGCACGTGCATGGTGCAATTATAACTGCATATGATGAATGAGGGTGCATGAGGTTTGTTAACGTCACACACAGGATCTGATCCAATCATCTGTGCTGGCTGTAGAGAGTGGGATTATAAGCCCATCCACAAGTCACAAAGTGAAACTGTCTCATTTAATTTTCAGGAATAAAAACTTTAAAAACACGTGTATAAATTANATTAACAGGAATTAAATTTTATTTTATTTTATTTACACCGTCTGATGTGACCCTGAAACTTTCCTTTTGTGTTGTCTTATTATTTGTTGTATGTTGCTCTCATTATTTAGAGATTATTTTATTATTTTTATTTTCTTATTTATGATATAAAGTTGCAGACTGAGCTATTGGTGATGTTTTTTTTCTGAGAGATATGTGTAACCTTGTGGACCTTTATTGATGCTAAAATTTCAAAAAAATTTCAATTTTTTTTGTTGCAACAACAGCAGAGTTAAAAAAATGCCATCTCACGTTGGATCTTGCACATCTTTGAGGCTCTTTTATCATTTGCATCTGGCCACAAATTGTATTCTCCAATATGTTATAGCATTTATTCAGAATATTAATATTTCACCTAACATCAAGTATTTGATGAAAATACATATATTTTACTGTTTCAAAAGCAGCAAAGAAAAAAAATTGAGATCACATTAAACAGAAATCAGTTTTTAATGGATCAAGGGCTAAATATTGCTGCTCATCGCGGACAAGGGCAGAGACAAACGAGGACAAAAGCACAAAAAAGTCTGCATTCCCTTTTCCAACAAATGAAAATGAATCACCACCTAATCAAAGACAGCCATTCTTCTAATATAAAGCCTAGTGTCGGTGCAGGGTCAAAGCTCCTTTAACAGGCGATAGCAGATCGGACTGTAAGAGGGCTTTGTGGCATAGAGGAGCTGTGTAGGGCGCCAAATGTGTCACCATTCATCCCCTTCTGTGCTTTGAAAAAACCCACAACACAGAGAAGTCTACAAAAAGTTGCAGTCTTTGTCGTACCAGCAAAAAAAAAGAGGAAAAAAAGAGGGTTTGCTGCACTTAACCCTTGTAAACATTTTGATTTATTATGAACTCACAGCACACTAGAACGGCCCTGTCAATTTCAGTCCAGTAAAGTGTGGGTGCAACCATAAGATAAAGGGCGAAACAAGCTGAATATCCTTCACCTATGTTCTCCGTTACAGTTTGGAGTCAAAGGAAGGAAAGAGGAAATCATTGAACGCTGTAAGACAGAACATTTTAGAAATTTAAGCGATTATCATAGAAGCACTACACACAGCAGCACTAAACAGATAAATTGGATGCACACCTTCAGTCCCATTATATGAATATTCATATTCTCAGAAAGWGTTTATGAATGTGGCCATATGGTTCAGAATTGACAGCTGCATGTGTTCCCAAGCTCATACAGCTCCAGTGCAGAGCTGCAGTCAAATGAAGAGGAGTGTGCAGTGCAGGGACTCCCGAGGTACACTCAACAGATTGTAACGAGCAGACTCTGTGGTCGGCTTAAAAAAAACTAAAACTCCAGGTTAACTGAACAAATTAAAAGCATCTAAGGTTTACAGCAATAAAAAGAATTAAGCGAAAATCTGACGAGGTGGTGTTTTAGAAACAAGAAAAGTTAAAGTGGCGCACATTGTAAATGGTTTATTTTATTARAGGGCCATGACTCATTAGGGAGAACACATCAGCATCAAAGAACTGCAAACAGGAACAACTGTGGAGCYGTACCCTGCGTGTTTACATCGCAGCTCACGCTCACACACAAGCATCCAACAAGGATGTTGCCTTTTCTTTTCACAGAGAAGTTAATCCGCATTTATGCCAATTCTCTCCCTGATATTTGTATAATCCTCTTTTTTTTCTGCATTTGTCTGCAGCTCTCTGTTGTGTTGCCTTTTCTTGCCAACACATTCACATTCACTGGAGCTCCACTGGTGGATGATAGTTTTAGCTTGTGTGAAAGTGAATTACTGTCTCGCTCGTTCTAATCCTGCTTCCGTTGCTCAAACACAGGTGCAAGAAGGATCCCCACAGAGATTTGTCATATTACTCTTCTATATTTGGAAAATATATAAGCTTTACTACATAAAAAGACAATGACTCCAAAGCAAAGCTAATTAAGAATATTTAGTTTGTTTCACAGCCAGTTTTAGGTACCATCCTTTATTCTTTGAGTTTCTGAACCTTTATGTCTGTTATAATCCATCCACTGTGAAAACATCTACAGGCCTTCTTTCTTAAAAGTTTCAGGTCAAGATTATTTTAAGCAATACAATAGCAAAAAATAAAACAAATAAATAAAAAAACAGTAAAATAATCATATCCTCTAAAGTTATAAATAGTATGAAATGCATGCCCAAATATTGTCACAATCCAATCAGTGGTACATATATTTTTTTATATTTGTTACTTGTTAATGTATCATTTCAGTAATGTGTTTTCTTGCTCCTGATTATTCTAGTGTATTTTTTAATATTTGGTCACATTTGTTTCAAAAAAGCTGAAAAAGGCAAACTTGTGTTATTTTTTTTTTCTATTCGAGTGCTGTTCAAGTAAAGTTTTGGGTGTTTTTAATCATAGACGTGCAGGTGATTATGCACAGTGAGAATGGTGATGATGACGATTTAGTATTTTTTCATGTCTTTAAGGAGAGCATCAGTGCGTGCTCCTATGCCGCCCTGTGCGTAAACAGAGTCACTGCACCGTGCGCACAGTACTGCCACTGTTGGAGTAAAGCCCGGTGCGCTGCAGCGCTGACTGGCAAAACTCAAGCAACAAGATCAGTGAGGAAACTCACTGGAGAAGCAACATAAGGTCACAGTAATCTGCTTTGCTTATTTTGCTGATCAATAGTTCTTCTTAGTGTAACATTCAGCTCTAAAGAACTACAAACAGACTTGAGTCGATAAGTTTGAACTGACGTGTTCTTAGATCTACTGCGCTCGCATGGCGTAAAGCTGTTACCCACACAACCTGCTGTCCTGAAAACTGTAGTCTGTTAATTAAAAACGATAACCACCGGGTCACACAGCGTTCATCAATTCATCTTCAAGGATTAAAAAAAAAGAGCAGAGTTTGGAAGCAACTTGCGAGACAGTTGCGCATTTGACAGCTTGCCTACCCACATGAGCAAGCTCCTTTAAAAGCAACTTTGTCACATATATGTCTGTGTATTTGGCTCACAGACACGTGTTGTGGACACGGAATTATCTCTTTCATCAACAGCGTCGCTTTGGAAAAAGAAGAAATAAGTGATTCGACCGGTTTCCTGCAGCTTATCAGATGCAGCGCACTGTTCCAACCTGCCTCCTGCTTCAGCCGTGTGATTGAGGGGASCTGAGATTATTCTTGTTTTACCCAATAAAAGCCAGTAAATAAAAACAACATGAACGCTTTGGATCTCGTCCCAAGTGAGCAGTGCCATGCGTAACAAGGATCAGCATTGATAGAAAAAGAAGAAGAAAAAGTACGCTCCGTGGTTGGCTGCGCAACACTCCGCGCGCACTTCCCAGCTCCACGGTGACACAGGAGGGGGGGCAGGCGCTTGCCTTTCACTCACCTGATTGTGAACAGCCGAACCCAAACAGGAGGCTTGTCAGGAGAAAGCCGAGGCAACACAGGGCAGTRGTTGGTTTCATTGTTGTGCTTGGCAGGTAGCTCCCTTAAATTCACATGTCCAGCGACGTATCCTTCCTCAGCAGCCAGAAAGGATGAATCGTTTGCATCTGACGGCTCCCCAGCCTGCGACTTTGGGGACTTTCTTTGCTTCTGAATAAGTTCTCACTTTGCCCGAGTCTTCTTTATCTCGCCTCTTTATGCCTTCKGGTTTAATTTGTGACTGACGTGAAAGCAGAAAAAGGTCGAATAGACTAAGAATTTCCAGCACACGCTCCCCTTAAAAAAATAAGCTTGCCTAAATTGCGTAAAGCACTGTACTCATGCCATTACTCCCCGACTTGGACACAATATGCAGCTGCAGACTCTCATTCTTCAGACACACCCCCCGGGTCCCCAGAACCCCTCCTACCGGCACCGTGATTGGAACAGTGGCCCGGCGATCACCCAGAACCCCGCCAGGCACAGCTTGGTGCGCGACGCAATTGGCTGGCACGAGATCCCGAAACCTCCCGAATTTGTGCATCGGCTCTGTTGCACCTGTCACACGGAAAACAGCAGAGATCAAGTCTGCCAGAAGGATTTATAGCTGCAATAAGTAACATGGAGCTGCTTACAGGTGGCTTTGGACAAACTCATCAGTATTTTATAAAACATAGTTTAATTTTAAAACAATTGGTTTTAAATATAATTTTGTCCCCTGTTTACTCATTTGCAGCTTTTGTAATAAAAAAAAAATGTTTGTAAATGTGTGGCTTCATCTCAGTAAAGTATTAATTTTACTCAGCAAAAATAAGTTTTTCAACAACAAGATTTATTTTCTTGCTCTGTCATATATATATATATATATATATATATATATATATTATTTTTTTCCCTAACATAATGATGATGTGACTTGACCTGGCAGGCACTTGCGCTCATCTTAAGGCAC